CCTATCCTGCATTGCTGTCGAATGCGGCTTTATAAGCGACGAATAGATGGAATGTGTCGATGTGTTTCTCTTGGGTATTTTCCAGGATTTGTCGCAGAGTGAAAATCTGGTCAATGAAGCCACATTGGTATGGTCCAATAATGTCATTGATCATTGGATAACACTTTGTATGCGATTGGAAGAAGAATAATTGAGTCGATTGATTGCTACTTGAACCTCATCGTGGCTAGGTTATCTCTTATTGGTGTCTTCTATACCGCCACTTTTTGATACCACAAGCTTATTAAAAAGCTCCTTCCACATCCTCAACACGCTGCCTGTATCTGTCACCAGGTTTCATTCTTCATCTCTACAGGAGGATGTGCCTGCGCCAAAGCCGTCGGTTTTGGTGTTTTACTCATTGGTAAAATTTCTGGACTTCGTTCTGACTCATGTACATCTCGTTTTGTATCCCCTCACGCTTTTCTTGTTCTTTCTTCTTTTCTTTAAAAATACGTTTCTCCTCTCTCCATTTCTACCGATAATTCTCCATCACATTACGTGTTGCTATTGTTGCCCTATACGCTGCGTTTTTCATATCAGTAGCATTACGACACTCCTGATCGTACCACGGATTTCTTAATGGTGGTCTTTTGTACCCAATTGTTGCTTTTGCTGCAGTTTGCAGGGAGTGGTGTTTTTATACTATTATCGGGATAAGAAGTGCTTTCGTCAAGCAGGTGGGTAAGTTGAGCGGAGTAGGCCTCTGCTTCCTGTTGTGTTTGCAGCTTTTCGACGTCGAGTTTTCGTGTTATATTAGATCGCACCTACATTAAGACGAATGCGAACCTTGGCTGCTACAAGGTAGTGGTCCTAATCGATATTCGCTCCTCGGATCGATCGAACGTCTACAACAACCTTGTAGTCAATCAACCTCATGCCGTTGTTGGAGGCTGAATTTTCCGATGGTGGGGCCAAAGATATTTTCCCTTCCGATTTTAAATCGCATTTCCTGTAAGGTAATAATATCGGCTTGGTACTGGGCAGTTTGATCGTAAAATGTTTCTAATAGAAAAAAATTCCTTAAATCGGGGAAGTACGGTTATAGGGGGGCTGTATCAAAACATGGACCCACATACCCCATTTACCATGCCAGTAGTTGTATTGATATAAAAACGATCAGAGCTAAATTTTGGCAGCCTACATCAAGTGGTTCCCAGTTAATGAGTTTATACCCAATTTTTGGGTGAATACTCAAAACATGGACCAACGTCAAAAATTTTTTGCATGGATATTTGGTATCCAAAGTGAACTCTCTGTGCCAAATTATAGCCAATTTGGTCATAACATGTGTCTAATAGACAAAAATACCTTAAATCGGGAGGTACGGTTAATGGGGCATATATTAAATCTTGGACCCAGAGATCCCATTTTCCATACCAATATTTGCTTTGACATTAAAAACATGTGAACCAAATTTTGGCAGCCTATGTCAAGTGTTTCGTCAGTTAAGGAGTACGTCTTTAAAGTATCGTCAAAATATCCATTCTAAATCGATTTGATAACAGAAACCCGGTAATAGCGTATATTATGTTGTATTACCGATTCAATATAGTAAATACCCACAATTGGGTATTAACATTAACGGATATTTACCGTTTGAGTATTTACCCACTGCCCATCTCTAGTTATTTAAAGTATTATACAACAGATACCGACGATTGATACATGCCGGTATTAGGAGCCTTTACCCTATATTAATTTAAAAAAAAAATTCTAATCGCTCTTTAACAATTATACATTCTATTTTTAGAGTATTTGTATAAGTTCCAGTTATGGTAATTGGAGGAAAGATCTGGAATTGATAAAATTATAAATTTGCAAGATTTTCATTCATGTTTTTAAATTCTATTATGGAAATTCAAAAAAAAAAAAAAAAAAAAATCATTTTGAAAATAAATCAAATTTATTGATATTTCGTATTTTTTGTTCATTATACCATGCATAATTATATGCAATTATATAAAGATTTGTCCATCATAAAATACATTAAAGCATTAGAAAATATACATTTTTAATTTGTAAAAAAATATGACAATTGACATGCATAAAATGCTATGGAATTTATTTTTCAAATGTCGGTGTTCGTTAATGATAAAAAATGTTAGCTGGTTATCGATTTTTGTCATACAAAATTATCACCGACTTTTTCACGATTTGATCTTACTCTAGCAAGGAACTACAAGAACTGCCACCAGCCACATGGTGAGTGTATTACAAACGGTTTGAGCAATTGAAGCTTATGATGGAACTGGTGGTGAGAGCAGAGGGTTTGAGTTTAACACTAGAAAGCCGAAGGCGGTCATTTTGACCGCTTTCCAATTTCAAGTACAAAAGCAACTGTACATTTGATGACACTTTTATTTTAAATTTGGTGATTTGTTTATAATAAACGTAATTCTATGAGATACAAAAAGTCACCAAATTTAAAAAAAAGTGTCATTAAATGCACAGTAGCTTTTTTACTTGAAATTGGAAAGCGGTCAAAATGACTGCCTTCGGCTTTCTAGTGTTAATGATGTTTAGCTAACTGTCCTACATCATGCAAAAAGGAGAAACGTAAAATGTGATATTTCAGTTCAAACGCGAGATGACACCCAAACATAATTTCAATGGTTTATATGACAATGAAGTTCCAAATCGCATCAAAGATGATGATGAATACAAATTTATTTATATGATGACTACAGGCAGGTACAAATTAATAGAAATAAAATCTGCCGTATCTAGATAATTATTAATGTATTTTTATAGATCATTTAAACTTTAAATATCTGTCATCACTTTTACTCACCAAATAAATAATTTTCAAAAGAACAAATATGTAACCCAAAACCACAAAGACATTGATATACCAATATCATGTTGTTGTATAACAACAACCACATGGAAATTTGTTTTTGTAATGATTTTGTAGTGTCAACGTCATTTGACAGAAAAATGTAAACTAACATAGAAATTACCAAAAATTTTATTTATTTAAAAAATTTAATATTTTTGAATACTTAAAATTGAAAACTTGAAAAACAAATTTATTTAACTTTTATAATTGTACCTTGTATCAATATATGGTTTACCTGAACTTCACTGGGATAAGATGACAGGCAACAGAGGCAGAGAAAAACGAAATTTTATTCCAAGAAACATAACTTTTACTTGTTGTATTTGTTCTGTACTTAAATGACCTCCCATCAGCTATTACTATTATATATATATATATATATATATTTGCAAAATGTTCCCATGTAAATTGGTGTAGCTTCAATGGCATGTCTCTGAATCTCAAGAAATGCAAAAAAAAAAAAATCGGTATGTGTCCCGTACATATTAGAAATTGTAGACCCTTTGTTGATCTTGGTGTTATTTTAGATAATAAACTACGTTTCCACAGACATATGGAGGCTTGTGTTGTGCAAAGTCATTGTTAGGCTTTATAAAACGTTAGTCTAAAGAGTTCGATGATCCTTATGATACCAAACGCCTCTTTGTAACTCTTGTTCGATCTACCTTGGAATACCTTTGAGGTGGCCCCTTCGGTCGGGAATGAGTGGCGTGGGAACGATCGAAAAAAAACCTATACAGACCAAAAATGGATCTTAATACTTCTAGGCTGCTGGCAAAGCGTGAGAACAAGTAGCTGAGAGAATCTAAGAAGCTAGAAAATAACCAGGTACTTTTCCTTACATCTCCACATTCAGAGGATGCTTTCTGCGAAACCAAAATTTTTCCTTAATCTGTTAATGATCATTAAGATCAAAATAACAATTGGAAAAAAATGTATTGGTGGCAGGTGCACCTCTACAATATACACTTTAAAACGACAAAAATGTGTTTCCTACAAATAATAGACCGATCCGACAATGTTGGTGAAGTCGGGCGCATCCAACCTTCGCTTACAATATTGGTGGAGTCGGGCGCATCTAACATTACTTACATTGTCCGTCGAATTCGGAATCTTATGACATCGCTTTGTAATTGTATATAGTCGCACCTACATTGCAAGTTCTCGGAAAATGTATGTGAAAAAAATTCTATGGGATAGTAAAGAGGAAAGCTAAGACAACGAATTATGATTGGCAACAAGATGTTATGTTGCTCAAAAGCCCACCCAAGCAACCAACAAGTCTACAAAATCCGATGACACAAATTTTTGTTGCAACATCAAAATGAATACAATAAACCTCTCACAAACATATGAGAGCAATTAGACGGATTTGGTGATCTTAAATTCACAATCCATTTTTTTTTATTCAAAAATGATTTAAATATTTTATAAACATAATAATTTATGAAACTTATAAAGACCAATATTGAAATTTTCTAACAAATTCAAAACAGCCATTGACAGCATTCAGCTTTCAAAATTTAAATGAAAATATCTTCCTTCGAAATGTAGGCATATTATATGTTCAGTGGCAAAAATTGCTAAATAATTTATATTTATGAATATTTTGAAGTTCCCTGTCTCTAAAACGTATAAATATAAGTTGTAACAACCATGGTTAAATCTTGAGCGCAATGTTCAGCTTTAGAAAATATATTTTGTTTATTAGATTTAAAATTTGCCAATCGACATACATAAAATTTTATGGAATTTATTTTTCATTTTATTTCAAATTGATATATGAGTTTCGTACCTAAATTCATGCGTATTCGTACGATTTTATTCACCTCAAAAGTTAAATACACGTATTTCAATGAATGCATTAACTATGCGTATTTTGAATTTTTTGTTTTTTGAAAATAGAATTCCAGCCATTGAAAAATTTGTATTTCTATTAATGTAAATATTTTTCGGTTAAGTTTTCAATTGACACACAAGTAAGTAAGGTCCTTGCGTATTTATGTAATACGGACGTTCAACAAAGGTGAGAAGGTGGATATTTTTGTACGAAACGCACTGAATTTAGGTACGGGCCTGAATTCCAAATTAAAAAGGTTTGCCATCATAAAATTCTCAAATGAGACCACCTTTTGTAATTATGCAATGCATTTTTCGATCGATTAAAAAAATGTTTTCATCCATTTTCAATCGAAACACATATAATTAAGGTCCTTGAGGTTTTGGGTAGTACGGACGTACAGCAAACATTATAAAGTTGAAAGGGTGGGTATTAGTTTTAGTTTATCAACAGAAAATTTTTAATTTCATTAGAATTCTCCAAATATCTAACAAATATTTCATGGCATAATTATACAAGGTAGTCTCATGCATGTTTCATATGTTTCCAATTTTTCATAAATTTGCATTTGACAGCATTCAGCTTTCAAAATTTAAATGAAGATATCTTCCTTCGAAATGTACGCTTATCATGTGTTCAGTGGCAAACATTTCTAAATAATTTATATTTATGAATATTTTGAAGTTCCCTGCCTCTAAAGGGCCCCTTACACTATACATCATGCCGTACAGCATTTATCATAGTATGTGTTATTTTTTGAAAGATTATTTATGTATGTGTGACACACACAATGCATGAAGAAAATCAAAATTGTTTTGATTTTGAAAATGAAACCCTATAAATCTGGTGAATAATATTCATTTTGAAAGTTGTCAATAAAAAATTTTGTGTACAAAAATAATAAAATTGTGACGGAATTTACGACTCAAAATGCAATTTTTGGGACAAAAATCGATTTTTTGGAATAGTGATTGAAGAGTTTGCCATACACTAGTCAATCTCACATATACAAAAAGGGGTTCATCGGCATGACGGCATGATTTATAGTGTATGGGGCCCTTAACACTTATAAATATATGATGTCACAACCATAGTTCCGTTCCAGAACCTAAAAGAATGTACTAATTTTACAAGTTTTGCAGCTTTTTACTCGAAACCCGTTCCTGAACCCACAAAACTGGTAAAACATTGAATCAAATTTAAGAGAGCACAAAACAAAATGGCGTTCTCTTTGTAAACTTTTTACTCGAGAAATTTGGCCGAGTAAAAATGGTAAACAGGAATGCCTACTTCTGATTGGCTGTTATGTTTATTTTGAAGTATTGCCATCTTATTTTGGCATATTTACTACATTTGCGTTCCCGAACTTTTCAAATTATTTTGTACTCTGAGAGCAATTTTGAAATATTTCCCTTTTACTAGATTTACTATTAAAAAAGGTCTGGAACAGACCACATATTTAAACCTTGAGAGCCATGGTACATTTATAAAAGGTAACAGCAAATCCCAGCTGATTTGATTCCAACGTAATACTAGTGTCAATATGAATTTGACAAATTATGTTTTTAAAAATCACCCAACAGGAAACTTCTGATTGCTGTTATTTAATTTGAAATTGTTCTTTATTAAATGTGCTTGGTATCAATTTACTACATCTGCCTGCTGGGAACTTTTCAGGAAGCAAATCTTTCTTTAAGGAATAACTCGCTAGAGCATTTTCATATGTGTTATACATATATGTGGCAATGGCACAATTAAAGGAAAGATGTGGACGCGATAGAAATATAAATTTGAAAGATTTTCATTCATGTTTTTCAAGTTTTATTTTGAGGATTCGAAAATATTTCATTTTCAAAATAAAAATAATTTGATGATAATTTGTTTGTTTGTTTACATTTTTCTGTCAAATGAGTTGACACTAGTAGAACTTACAACAACAAATTTCCATGTGGTTGTTGTATCGTTTTTTGTGCAACAACACTTGCTGTTACCTTCTATTATTATACCATGCTTGAGAGCAATGTTCAGCTTTAAACGGCATATACATATACGGCATATATAGAATTTGTTACCGACTTTGTTGGTGTTGCTAGTATACAGCAGCAATCCAATCAGTTTAACCTTGCCTGAGTCTACAACTTCATTAGTGTTGGCGGGTTATTTGGGATACCATTTGAATTTTTTTATTTTTGAAAAATAGTCAAGCTGTATCCCAGTTTGTTCTTTTTATAAAAAACAACTATTTATTAGTGGGGAATGTAAGGCATTGTACGCCGAGGGATAAGGCAGGAAAGACTATAGTTTCGGATCTCGCCACTGATCCTCATCAGTTCCCTTAGTTTTTTGTTGGGATATTTTGCCCAGAAGTTTTTTATTGCTTCTTTACAAAAAACCTTTCATACCCCAATGTCTCTTGTGACAATTCGAAGTTCTTACATTACCAGCGATACGACCCCAATGAGAAGTTCGTTTCGTTGGCGCCTGACTTCGTGGTCAACAAGGCATTTGCAGGCAACTACAATACATTTCCCACTGCTATGTGTCGTAACTTTGTGACGAATGCATTTGTTTTCAGAATTATGTATGTGAATTAACCCGTTCATACAACGCTGTTGATATGAAAATCTGGCAATACTGTTGTTGGATATCACAACAGTATTGGTTGCATTTTCTAAAATGCAACACGGTATTTTTGTTTAAAAAATAATTTCAGCTTCAACTTTTGGATTCAACCCGGCAACGGGTTTAAATCCAAAAGTGCTGATGAAGGCGAAAACAAACTATGAACTATGTTCAAGCAAGCTGAAGTTCGCCTTCCAAGATTCTGGACTTACGAGAAGAATTGAGTTGTTGCGTCGGGTCATTACAACAAATTTTGCAACATGCGCAAGTATTGAGGAGAACGTAAGCCAAATCGTATCTACGGCGAATATGTTGACATTTTAGCAGTACTGCCTCAGGAGTACGCACCGATGATAATGGGTTTCGAAAGTTCCAGCGTTAAAATTACTTGCGACTCCATAAAGACCAAACTACTTCAAGATGCCAAAAAGACCAACGAGAGCGGTCATGCGGCGTTTTTTTTACAAGGAAGATGAAACATCAAAAGAAAAGAATGCGATGTTATAATTGTAACCGCATTGGCCACATTGCAGCGGATCGTCACAGTAAGAACCATCCAGACAGAAAGGAGAGTGATTTTTGCATAGTGTATGACAAATAGTGGTTCATTGCTTCTGGAGCCAAAAAAGAGAAACTGTCTGTTGAAGGTATTGGTGGCATAAAGTTCAAACTCTTTGTGAATATGAAAAATGATGGATATAACTTTTTACGATGTCCTTTATGTACCAAATATGTCAGTGAATCTGTTAGCTAAATTATAAGCAGAGGTTATACAGCAATGGTGGGCAAAATTTCTCTTAAAAAATGTTTAAGGGAAAATAAAAACAGGAATAATTCTCCGGAATTTATTAAATTTAATATATTTAAAAAGTAAATAACATCCCAGTAAGTTCAAAAAAATATTTCATTAAAAAAATTGTGAACAATTTTTCATTGAGGTTTATTTTTGTTTTGACATCAAAAAATGTTAAGAGAACGCATCAACGCTGGTGTGCACGTCTGTCCAACTATGTTATACAGTTCAGTTCCAGAATGACAAGTGCATGATAAATAGAGACAGAAAAGTGATAGCCACTGCCACACTTTAGAATAAAATGTTTAAAATATATGGCAACACTGAACAGAAGTGCGTTCTAGAATGGGTCATCTTAATTATGCAGACATGAAAAGGACCAAGGAGAGTGGAAAAAGAAAGTGGCACACGAACTAAATGCTTGCGTATGGACAACGGCACGGAATATTGCAACAAATAGCTCTCAGAATTATTAAAAAGATATAGCATACAACATCAAACCACCATACCATGGCATATTTACAGAAGGTAGTCTCATTTCAGAATTTTATGATGGCAACTTTTAAATAATACGAAAAATAATTTCCATAAAATTGTATGTATATCGGTTGACATATTTTCAATAAGGTAGTCTCATGCAGTCACATGTTACCAATTTTTTCATGGGAGATCCACTCAATAAAATGTGTATTGATTTTAATTCTGCGTACTCTAACGTATATTTTTGCATTAATGTAGAACGTATAAAAACTAAACCAATAATAAAAACTAATATAATTGTATTTTTAAATGAGTAGTGCAAATTAATAATAAGCTCGCTGTTCCATCATGATGCGGATTATGGTGTGTACGCGATCCCTACGAAAGGGGAGGTCACCCCCTCGGTCGGCAGGGGTGGGAAAGTGAGGCGTGGGAACGTTCGAGAAAAAGGTCTGCCGTGTGGCGTATTCATGTTTAGTCCTCTCTTACTGTTTTAATCGTGAAATACCAACCAGAACAGTACAAAAACTCAAAATATCTTTCAAAAAGACGTAATGATTGTAATATGCACATATATTTTGGTTCGAATAAAAATATTTTTTGTTTATTTATTCTTCAAACAATAAATTTGACAGCCAATGAATACTTCGAATTCGCCTTAATGTTAAACTTAAGAATAAACCTTGGCATTACTGAATGTTGTTCGCATGGTATAATTATTACAAGGTAGGGCACAGCTACCAGCTGATTACAATTTTTTCTCACGGTGGCTTATTCCATCAAATCAAAATAAATATTTTGTGTATGTGTGTGTATTGTTTTGAATATACTATCAAATAAATTCAAAATAAATTGAAATGTATTCAAGTTTAATTGAAATGAAAATAAAGTTTTTAACACGTTCGTCTGGAAGTAATTACTTTGTTATGGATGAATCAAACATTTTATGGTATTCCCTACTGGATTTTGGGAAGAAATCATAACCTTTCATTCATTTTTCGCGTTTTTAGTTTTGTGTTGAAAAAATGTCAATAAACACAAACACTTGTTGCGTATATATTCTTTTATTTTCGACAGAAGAGGCCACACGTGCATAGTTGCTTTTTGGTTATTCACCTCAAGCTGCCCTACATTGTATTATTGTACCATGGTTGTTCTATAATTTCAAGGTATATTAAGAAGGTAACCGCATCTAATAAGGGGGGTTACTCTGTATTGCGTTGCGAAAGCAAGTGCGATGCGAAAGCTGAATGCGTTAAGAGTACAATTTGGTACTCTGTAACGCTCACGCAATAACGAAGAATGACAAAAGGAAACGTCAAAAAAATTGAAAAATGAAAACATATTTTTGTGTGGTACGAGTGTTTTTTTAAACAAAAATGATGAACGAATTAAAAACAAAAAAAAGAATTTTATGAGATCGATCAAATATATTCTCCCTAAGTGACCACGGGTATTAAAATAGAAGTACGAATTATGTAACAAACGTTTTCAAATATTTAATTTTTATAGATTTATACAAAATGTTCGGCTCAATAAAGATTCGTTTATGTATTTATTAAACGCTCGTCTTTCCAAATAGATCCACAACAATTCCAACTCCAATAAAAGAGGCCGCTGCTTTGAAATTGCTTGGACAAGGTGGTTATCAACACCAACCTGTAAATATGCACACATAGTTTCACATTTTATATTACTTTTTCCAACCACCTACATCTTTTACAGGAGGTCAATTTGAATTGAGGTCATCAGACAGTTTTGTCCACAAATTGTTGGCGCGTTGTTTCGCATTTGAACTCTGCAACTGTCCCTTTGCCAAATCACTGTATTGCCCCATAAAATATACTTAAGTTAGGAACTGACGTTGCTGAGTCTGCAACTGTGACTTTTTGGCCTTTTACTTAAAATAATTTACAATTTATATATAAATAAAAAATTTAATTGAGCTTACTTATATGTTTCGCTTCCTTTGCGTTTGCTATTTTGTTAACGCAAGATATTTGCGCTTAACGAACGAGTTTGACATGCGTTTTCGTATTACAGAGTGTGGTGATGCCACATTTGCGTAAACTAGATGCGAAAGGCGATACGAAAACGAATTAGAGAGTACCAATTACGCGATGCGTTACAATTTTTTTCACGCATCGCAATACAGAGTAACCCCCAGGTGGTGGTAACGTTAAATGTCAAAACAATTTGTATTTTTTAAATTTGTGTAAAAATAAAGTGATTTTAAAATAGAAATTTGAAACATATAAAAATAAAGAACCCAAAACTAAGAAAAAGGAACGAATTGAGAGGAGACATTGGGATTTGTGAATGAAGATCATTTGGTTGTAAAGAAGACTACAGGTGGAAACATGACTGATAAGTCGCCTATAATGAATTATCAACTATAGAGAATACCTCTTCATGCTCTTCATTGAATTTAAAACGCTGTTTTTATGTTATTTTTCAATCACAATATTGAATTTGGACAAACATTCAACATATTCAAATTTTTCAAATATTTTTAATATTTCAAAATGCTGAATTCTGATTGGTTGAATGTAATTTGCTTCAAGTATTGTATGTTACGGCGAATCAATTATTATTCGCCTAGTTAACAATTTTGACATATCAGGTTCCCAATTCGCCGATGCGTCTGCCATATACACTGTGCTGCATAACTATAGACGCACAAAAACCCATATTATTCAACAATAATAATTAATTTACTCCTTATGGGTTCGCTTAATACTGTACTTTCAAAATCACTGGTGTTGCATAAGTATAGACGCACTTTTACAAAATTAGATAAATTTATTTTTTTAAACTTAGGGTCGTACCTAAATTCATGCGTATGCGTGGGAATTTATTCACCTCAAAAGTTAAATACATGTATTTCTATGAATGTTACCCAAATACGCATTGCGTATAAAAATATAAAGTTGCAAATTTTCAACATTGACAATGCGTATTTTGGAATTTTTGTTTTTTGAAAATAGAATTCCAGTCAAAATAGAATTCTAGCTCGTTCGACGTTTTTCACCACAGGAGCAGAACACATGTATTTATATGAATGTTACCGAAATACGTCGTACGTACAAAATTTCCAGTTGAAAATTTTCAACTTTGACAGAACGTATTTTACATTTTTTTCATTTGTTGAAAATAAAAACAAAACATTCTGGAAAATTGAAATTTCGAATGGAAACTAAAAATATGTTGATTAATTTAATAAATTTTCCATTTAGTTTTGCGGTTTGTATTATTGATTTTAAAATAGAAATTTGAAACATATAAAAATAAAGAACCCAAAACTAAGAAAAAGGAACGAATTGAGAGGAGACATTGGGATTTGTGAATGAAGATCATTTGGTTGTAAAGAAGACTACAGGTGGAAACATGACTGATAAGTCGCCTATAATGAATTATCAACTATAGAGAATACCTCTTCATGCTCTTCATTGAATTTAAAACGCTGTTTTTATGTTATTTTTCAATCACAATATTGAATTTGGACAAACATTCAACATATTCAAATTTTTCAAATATTTTTAATATTTCAAAATGCTGAATTCTGATTGGTTGAATGTAATTTGCTTCAAGTATTGTATGTTACGGCGAATCAATTATTATTCGCCTAGTTAACAATTTTGACATATCAGGTTCCCAATTCGCCGATGCGTCTGCCATATACACTGCGCTGCATAACTATAGACGCACAAAAACCCATATTATTCAACAATAATAATTAATTTACTCCTTATGGGTTCGCTTAATACTGTACTTTCAAAATCACTGGTGTTGCATAAGTATAGACGCACTTTTACAAAATTAGATAAATTTATTTTTTTAAACTTAGGGTCGTACCTAAATTCATGCGTATGCGTGGGAATTTATTCACCTCAAAAGTTAAATACATGTATTTCTATGAATGTTACCCAAATACGCATTGCGTATAAAAATATAAAGTTGCAAATTTTCAACATTGACAATGCGTATTTTGGAATTTTTGTTTTTTGAAAATAGAATTCCAGTCAAAATAGAATTCTAGCTCGTTCGACGTTTTTCACCACAGGAGCAGAACACATGTATTTATATGAATGTTACCGAAATACGTCGTACGTACAAAATTTCCAGTTGAAAATTTTCAACTTTGACAGAACGTATTTTACATTTTTTTCATTTGTTGAAAATAAAAACAAAACATTCTGGAAAATTGAAATTTCGAATGGAAACTAAAAATATGTTGATTAATTTAATAAATTTTCCATTTAGTTTTGCGGTTTGTATTATTTTCTTGAAGATATGGATACGACCGTGCACAACATTTTGCCATAGTGGAGAAGATAAATAGTTTTGTACGCCCCGTCGGATTTTAGGTAACGTTGTTATGAATAAGTTCAAAAATTGTATCCATAACACTGTTGATCAAAATTGTTCGCAAGTTTTCATCGATAGACCGCAAGATTCATCGATAATCATTTCTTGGAGGTAAAATACAGTTTGGCATTGGCGGGTTTCTGCATAGACACGACGAGTCAAATTCCACACATGTTCTCGATCGGATTCTTGTCGGAAATTTTAATATTGTTTTGATTTTAACCATACTTGAGTATGGCGACTTTTATGAACTGGAGCATTGTCCTGCTGAAAAACGAGGCCTTCATTGTTGCTGCTTTCCCAAAATGGCAATAATTTGTCTTCCAAGACTTGAACGTACTCCATTGAATTCATTCGACAACTAGAAAATGTCAAATCAAGCACTCCTTGGCTATAAAATGCTCCCAAGACCATTAAGGAGGCGCCACCAAAATATCGTGGTTCCGTTCGTAGAATTAGTAAAATTAATGTAAGATCTCAAAATTGTGGTCTCGCCATTATATGTATGCACGTCCTATATGTATGCACATATTCGGATTTATATGCAAGGAGTTGTTCTATCAATTGAAACATTATGTTGTATCAGAAGTATATTTCGAGATAAAAAATATATGCCCAATGAGAACATAACTCTATCAATTTTTTGTTAGAGGACAAATTGTTATGCATTTTCTTTTTTAATTTTTAAACTACTCCGCATTACTTTGAAGTGTAGATGATTTTATTGATCTAAAGTCATTATTAAATTGATATAAAGTTATTACTATTACTTCTTTGCACTGTAAACAAAGTTCACTCTTGGTTTGGTTTGGTGCCATAACTTACATATATATTTATTTTGGCTAATATATTTCTTACCTCATTACCACTAGGTTTCGAGAAAGTGTGATGTGACGTATGTAGATAATAGTTTACAGCATCATAAAAAGCAATTGGATACATTACAGGAGGATCGTTTGTGCCATTTGAGCAATCGGATATGTAGTAATGCAGAATTGCAGCGATTTGGAAAGCAACATCCAACACCATCGTTTGCTCCTATATCATTGCCACCTTCACCGCCCCCATCCTCATACAACATTGCTGTACCGGCCATGACATCCTGTGATCTGCCATCAGCATTGTTACCACATCCCGCAAAGTTTGCTATTCAACCAATGTGGTCAACGGCCGCTATGGCTGCCGCTCACATTCAGGCGGCCTTTGCAGCTGTGTCTGTGGCTGTCAATAGTGACCCAACCAATAGTAGTGACATTTGTGGTAAACTGCCGAAGGTTGAATCAGTTTTAGCAGACAATGGCGGGACGTTGGTTCAGGAATCGCCTCGATTAGGAGATGTAGACGTAATTCCTTGCATCGATCCTGATTTGAAGCTCAGTGATGTCATTACAAAAGCTGCTGCATTGTCGCCCACACACATGCGCAACGTTATAAGCAATAGTCGATTGGTTGTGCCACCTCCGGCCCCTGCGTTGCTGTTGGCTGACAACCCAACAATCCCCTTAGCTACGGAAACTGAGTCTGGTGTGGACGATGATCTTGACGATTGTTCAGATACAATCGAGAATGAGGACTCTAAGACAGGGCCTCAGCAAAATTTAAAAGTAATTACAAACGAAGCAAAGACTTACAATAGCGACGGTACGGATGTGCCTTTGAATTTATCGAAACCCCGATCATCTGCGGGTTCTCAGCATCTACAGCAGCCACCACAACAAGAGAGCGGTAGTCTTACCCCTGTTTCGCTGGAGAATGTATCATGCAATTGGCAATCTATGTCTAGCGAGGACACTAAACTTTTAATATGTCGCCTGTGGAACATACCTCCAATTGATGAAGTGGAATCTGTCGGCCCGATAGTGCCGGCAGCTCCAATAGTACCGGTGCCCCCGATTGTTCCCATGGCTACCAGCGATACTGAAAACACGTCTATGCCACAACCAATGTCCAGTAGGGGTGGCAAGCTAAAGACCTACCCATGTTCTGCCAAAAAACCAGTTCTGGAGCAATTGAATGCATTGCAAAACGAAAAACATGAGGTTGAAAATCAGCATTCTATTTCCTTCTTAGCCAAAGAAGGTCGTTCCAATGCACGTGAAGGACATAGTTATGGCCACACCTATCATAAGCCACACATCAAACGACCGATGAATGCATTCATGGTGTGGGCCAAAGACGAACGCCGAAAGATTCTAAAGGCTTGTCCCGACATGCACAACTCAAACATTTCAAAAATATTGGGCGCTCGATGGAAGGCTATGTCCAACATTGACAAACACCCATATTACGAGGAACAATCACGCCTTTCCAAATTACATATGGAGAAACATCCGGACTATCGGTACCGACCCAGGCCAAAGCGCACTTGCATTGTCGATGGTAAGAAAATGAGGATTTCTGAATATAAGACACTTATGCGAACTAAAAGGGCCGAGATGCGTGAAATTTGGTATAGGGATGCAGGACCAGGAGTCAGTGTAACACCCCCAGCCGACAGAAGATTCTGTCACTTGTCACACTGCGACGATGATGATTTCCAGGCATCTATGATGGCAGTCGGTGGCAAACCAAAGGACATGACAAAATATGAGAAATCATCTGCTGGCAATATTGCCGATTGCAGTTCGAATGTTTTGGACTGTCCCAATAATCCCAATGATAACGACGTTAATGCCGACTACCAATCAAAGTCTCTAAATCATCCCGGACTATCCAATGATGACAATAATATCAGTATGCATTCACGCGATGATGACTGAGTCGGTGGCACCTATAATGATCACAAATCACCAAGTATATTAAACATTACGATCAAGCATATGGGACTGGATATTCAAAGCATGAAGATCTATATCTTACTTTTAAAAAGCAAATTTTATGGCGCTAAACCTAAAATAATAAATAAATTGAAAGAAATTACCAACACATTCAAATAAAACCCTAAAGCATTTTTATTAAATAGAATGAATCTACGCGTGTCATGGCATAATAATATATGTACATACTATCGTATGCTAGCCAGCTACTTTGTCAGCAGAAAATCGTATTTTTTTTCAAACTGACAATGAATTTTGTAGTTTAACCGGCTGGCAAATGTTGTATTGCCTTAAAATATCTTTAAGAAAAAATATACTAAGTTAAATGTTCCGATGAAATATATTTGTCGGCATAATGATTGAATTCGTAATATTTGTATAGGTTGTTTGTATCAAAATGCGTCAATAATGAGAATCGAACCCATTCGACGATATACGATATGAAGGGTCCTATAGTACATTTACATTGTACTGAATTAAGTAAATCGAGTGGATTTAAATACCTATATTGCTAAGTTAGCTAAGTAAAGGTAAAAATTCTAATGTACATGCAGTTCTAGTCATTTTTGTTCGGCTTTATCTGCTATTTAGGTTTCTTAATGGGTATAATTCCTCCTCGCTGTCGACTTTTACTACATGTCAAAATTGTCATAATGGTTTAAAGATTTGAAGATTAAAGCGAAATTTCGCAACATATTTCCATATCTGCTATGATCGTCATGTATTATGTAGTGCAATTCTGTGACTTTTTTCGATGTTACAAACAAATATCGGTAAAATAAAAAAATTTCGTATAAAAAGTAAAATTTATGTTAATATTTTCATATCAGTCGGTATAGCTAACCGACTACTATACTTCAGTCGTTAACTTACTGAAAATTTCGTTATATATATATATATATATATATTCTTGAACAGGGTAAAATTCTAAGACGATCTAGCCATGTCCGTCCGTCTGTTGTAATTATCTTCTGAAGGAATTGAGATAGATCATTGCATAGAGTCTTTGTCTGCATGCAAGTTCGAACATGTAAGGGTACCGCCCAAATTTCGAATTCGCTGAAAAATGTCCCACTAAAAATTTTAAATATCGGTCCACTTTTTCTGGTAGCCCCCATATAACTGTACCCCCAATTTACGTTATTTTGGGGGTATTTTTAAGCGCGTTTTAAACCGTATTCGCTGAAATTTGGTACAATGGGCTATATATATGGGCAATATTGCCAATTTTTTAACATAGCTGAAGCGGAGGTTCACCCCTTTATAACTCGGGAATTACTTAAGTATATGAAAAAAGTGAATAGTTTTTGGTTAATTGATCTGTCGTTGCAAACTGTTCATGGTATTGACCTCCAAACATTATTTTTGTGGGAGCTGTGATCTACTTTAATGTAAACAAATGTGTAAAAACAGGTTGAGGCGAACCAGTTTTTTATGTTCTCTATCGATTTATGATTAAGCCACTCATTTCACTGTCTTCATGTCAAAGTAAAACTAGAAGCCAACAAAATCGGGACTACGCCCCTTATGTATCATTTTTCAAAATTTTAACTGCATCTACCTTTAAATGATGCTGACATTTTGAAGCTCGATTTTGAGTGTTTTTTGAATTTTACTTCTAGTTTTAATATGCATACAGGAATTTCTAAAAATCGATTATAAGATTATTGTAGTCGCGAATCTTAATAATTTGATATATATTTTGTGTATGAGTATGCACAGCTTCAGAGTAATACTCATCCGAAGGTGAAAATTTTGTGCGAAGTTTCTAAAAACCCTATTTTTCGGGTCAAATTTGTAGATCTGTCAACTGAATGATACGGGTACCCGCGATCAGAAAGGTTTTTTACGTTTCGGATGATATAAAATCTTCTTCGCGAAAAATCCATCAATTAGAACGGCGGGAACTGGCCTTCCAAAAACACGAAATTTGGAAAAAAATGTTTTTGAAAATATAGCGGATTTAATTGTATTTTCTGTGGATCATTTCCGCTTCAATAAACGACCTCATACGGATTTTGATTTCGTGCGTGGCCGAACATATGTTACCCTACACAACTTCCACGATAAGTAACTTTATGTGGTTCTACATTCTAGCTTGGGAAATATTTTGCGATATTTGCACCCCCTTGTCCGGCTAGAGGTCAACAAATATTACTAATACTCAGCACAGTACTTATAATTACCTGTCCAGATTCCCTCATCGTGGGTTGCGTTGTAATATTCGGCTTATAATTGTGGCCTATAGATCGACTCAAAAAACAAAAAAAAAGTTTTCAGTCCACTTCATCCCAAAATTAGTATCTTATCATCACTGACAATTATAGGCGTTGTCCTTGACCATAACTGGAACCTAATGTAACATATCAAGGCAATCAGGTTTACTAAATAATATCTGAATACGTAAGCAACTGTAAATATGTACTTTTAACTCCCACATCCGAGTACTTACGACAATATAATTGGTATCAATTTAAAGGCCAACCTCTCCTCTTGGATATATTATCAACTTATCGGGTATAAGTCCATCAGGAGTAAATATATACGCCAGCAACGTACACAGGATTTCATTTCATTTATGTTCGCTGTTGCGAACATAAATTTACTGTGAAAAATTTTCATTTCGGGGGGGGCCCGGGCCCCCCTGGCCGCCCCCCTGCGTACGTCCCTGATATACGCTATATAATACAAATTTTGTCATTTTTCACACAAAAGTCAGGGTCCATTTGACCTGCTAAATATTGACCGATTTTTATCAAAACAGGCATGCTTATTCATTGGCCCGATCCCCTTCTCCATGTAAAATTCCGCGATGGTCGGGCCTTAATTGCGGCCTCTTGAGCGACCAGAAAATCAAAGAAAAATAAAGTTTTTGGTCCATTTCATCCCCTTAATATTAACCGATCTTTACCAAAAACAATAGGGGTCTTCATTGGGCAGAACCCATCCTACATGCAAAATTTCGTGATTGGTCCATAACTGTGGCCTGTATCGTGTTTACAAATTATAATGGACAGACGGACGGACGGACACACATGTCTAGATCGACTCAGCTAGTCTAGATATGACGATCGGTATACTTAAAGGTGGGTCTAGGACCAATATACCCTGACAACATAGTTGTGTAGGGTATAAAAATAAATATGTTGACGTTATTTCTTCGAGCCAAAAACAAATATTTTTCATGTGATTTTGATATCATTTGATTCATCGTGGTACGTGCCATTAATATAATGAAAATATTAACGTAATCTCTTATATTTTTATTATTTTTCTCATATTTCGCGAAAATTTGCAACTTTTTGGCGATGATTATTATATATTCATATTCTTATTTTACGAAGGCAGATATATATGAACGTTTTTAATAAAACGCTTAATTTTAAGATTTTTTCCTTACGCCCAAAATTAAAACCTCTATAACTTTTGCGCGCATCAACCAAATATTTGATCGCGAACGTTTTCGGAGTCAGAACATTTTTCTCTATATGTGTACCAAAAATCATTGATGTACCACGAAAACAAAAAAGCGGATTTTTTGAAAATGGAATATTAAAAAATTGGCAACATTGCCCATATCTATATATATATATATATATATATGTAGGATTTCAATATTAAAACACGTTTACTTTGATGAGTAATATTGATTATGTTTTATTGATAAAATGAATTCCTAGAGTACTTTGGCGAAATTAGTGTTTAGCGTCTTTTTGCTTGTAAAATTGATGTTTTACACAGGCAACGGTTGCTTAAAGACTAAAAAATTCTTACAAGCTACTTTACAACCTAAGCTCTACTTGTTGTCTCATTCTTAAAGTTATATAGATATCCTTATTTTATATTATCGTATTTACAGAGTTGTAAGGAATCTTATATTATCTTATTGACAGAGTTGTATTTTAGTAACTTACTCCACTACGTGTCGTTCGTCGGTTACCGTCAGTTCCCACATTCGGCCATCCTGAAGATTCATTCGACCCGAATGATGTGCTCCACGTTTTCATGTACTCAGCTATAGTATTACATTTCCCAGGACCCTCACCTTCACCAATCTTTTCTACTTCATACCTATCATGATTCAAACCCTTCACCACTTTGTAAGGTCCTAAAAACTTTGGTTTAATCATTAATCCTGGTCCGAACTGGGTTCGCTTAATGGCGACAAGTTCACCTGGTTTATACTCTGTTGCTCTGTTTTTATCAAAACCTCTTTTATTTCGACTTTGTATTCTATAAATATTCTCACGTGACTCAATTCTGACATGTTCACTTTCCATATCAAGTTCCACTATTGAGCTTTCTTCAATAATCCGTCGAATATTATCAAGATTTTTTACTTTCATATCTAGCCCTGTCAATATTTTAAACGGAGAAAATTTAGTGCTTCTCGAAGGTGTGTTATTGATGCATTGCTGTTTATACGTGTTTATACCAGTTTTGTGGATTTTCTGTACACAACTTCGATTAAACGGCTATGACAATCTTATTTATTCTCTCTACCTGTCCATTTCCACGAGGTACTCCCGTTGCTATTAAAAGATGTTCAAACGCATTTGAGGTGAATGCTGTCCCTCGATCAGTTATTATCCTCTCTGGATTTCCGAAAACTGATGCTTGTTTTTTTTAATTTGTCTACAACTTCTTCCGTACCCGTGCTTTTAGTTTGATATAACCAAACAAATTTAGAAAATGCGTCTACTACTAATATATGGTTATATTTTTTCTTTGTTATCTCCATAGGTCCGACATGATCAAGATGATATGTCCTTAAAGGTAAATTCGCCTTATCGATAGGATTAAAAAAACCTTCTGATTTTCCTAACTTTCCACTGTTCACTAGACACTCAACACAATTGTGAATTACATTAGCTACTTTTGGATTAATGTCACGAATGTAAAATTCTCGCAAAATTAACTCAATAGCCTTTTTTGCCCCAAAA